TCTCAGTATCATAAGAGAAATATCTCATATATTCTTGCTTAAACAAATCTCAGGTTAGGGTCATTCGGATTGAGAGAGAAAGAGTTTTCCGGGAGAATCCGATTAGAGCGAGACTCGAGCAAAAACCATATGGATTAGATTCCCTTGTATCGTCTGGGAACTACGACGTAGTAACCTAGTACGTCCGCGGTCGATGAGTCGAGTGAACTATTATTGAGATAATAATTAACTGTGTCCGAAGGAATTCTGATAGATATGACTCATGGCCGGCTCGATATTGATGTATAGTACATCTATAGTCGATGAGTTAAGTGAATTTCAGCTCGTAGTGGATAATTAGATATAAATCTAATTTTTATTAAGCTAGTGATAATTGGATGTAGATCTAGTATCTAATATATTATGGTAATTGGGTGGAGATTTAATACTCAATAGGACATGAACCATTAGGATTAGCAAGAGCTCTCTATAAAAAATGATGTAGGACTAAAAGAGTTATAAGACTAGACCCCTTAGCCACCACCTTTGTAACTCCTCCCCTTACTTTTTCTTTAGCTATCTACCCCCTCTTTAGTGTGAGAGGGTAGTGAGAAGGACTACTACTATGTAATGGTGGTGCACAAAAGTAAGGAAAGAACGTGTCGTGAGAGGAGATGCTTCGCCACTTCATCCACCGTGTGGATCGTCGCTAGAGAGAAGAACGCGAGTTCTCCTTCATCCACAAATTGAGATCTGTAGGTCAGGGTTATACAAGTTCCCTTAGGTGATATCATCTCATGCCTTACACAGTTTTAGATGTGACGAGTTTTTCACTCTCGATCGTCGCACATGATTTGATATAAATCTGTTTTTGAAAAACTGATTTCTGTTTTATTTTTCCGCTAGACAGACAATGCCCTTCCAGATTTTTCAACGAAAGGGATATTAAGATTACTAAGAAGGCCATATGTGCTAAGCGATTGTCTTCGATTTTGAATAATATTGATTAGCTTTAGATGAGGATCTTACTAACCAAGTATGGGGAGAAAAATCCTTGGGATTTGGGTGGAAGTAAAGATTGTTCTTAGACTTGGCCAACATTTGTAAACTTCTTATGGACACCCAGTTTGGTTTCAAAAAAATATGCAGGAGATGGTCGTAAGACTCATTATTGGAATAACCCTTGGATTCAAACTTTACCTATTAGCCATTGGTCGACGCTTGTTAATATTGATTACTTTAATTCTATCTCTATTGCCTTCGATTTAATTACTCAAAATGGATGGAACCTTGAGCTACTTAAGTCTTGCTTTCACCCTTGCTTGATTGAGGGAATCTTGAGTATATATATTCCTGTAGCTCTCTTTGATGATAGATGGATCTAGATCTCAACTCCAGATAGACAAGCCACTGCTAAAAGTGCCTACCAACTATTAAGAGGGAGATCTCAACCCGATAATGATCATTGGTCTGGGTGGATAGCATTATGAAACATGAAAGTTTATCTCAAGATTAAGATTTTCCTATGAAAACTTATGTGGAATAGATTTGCTCTGTTATATCTCATTTGTTAGATTTGTTCAAAATTTGTAAGAAATATCCTCTCTGAGTGTCTATTTGCAAGGCAGTAGGACAAGCAGGCAACCTTTCTACAACTGATCATGGGAGACTTTGATGACTGATACATCGGTTAGAGGAGAGGTCGAGGAATGATAGTATTGAAAGGGAGATGTTCTTAGCTGTTGTTGCCAATACTCAAATAAGAACCATTATCATAATCATCAAACTAATATGAAAACTTTGTTCAGGATAATGATTGCCACCATCGACATGTAGTCATGTGGCATGCTAGTCAAAACCCGAATCCGCAACCACGTCACTTACAGATGATTCGCATGAGTTGTGGTTGGGCACCTCGAATCCACGGTTGTTGAGCAGAGGCTAAAACTTGGAGCACCACAACTGAGGTGTTACCAAGCCTCGTTACTCATCTTCATCACTTCTCTTGGTCGGCCCCGTATCGACTGCAAGAAGCAGATCACATCAATGAACTGCGTGCACAAGTAAATCTCTTATTCCCTCGAATAATAATGCTCCATCTGAACGACTCAAGCTGTAATAGTACAGTACACTTCGAATTCCGGACCACAATGCAATGCAATGCAAGCACTTCGATGGCATGCAGCATCATCTTCTCCCACTGCTGGTTTCTCTGATCTCCTCAATTATCCTGACCACATCGCTCATCGTCGGCCGCCTCTCCGGTTCCAACTCCGTGCAATGCAGAGCAATTTCCGTCAGCTTCAGCATATCTCCATGGCTCTCCTTCTCAGCCACTATCTCCAGGTCGAGGATGTCGGTCGACCAATCGTTGTTGACAACCAGCTTCACCCACCCCGGCAAATCTTCCTCCCCATCGCCCGCGGCATGCCCGGTAATGACCTCCAGAAGTACTAGACCGAAGCAATAGACGTCGGCCTTGAGAGCGAGCTTCTTACCATGAGAGAACTCTGGTGCCTTCCCAATGGCCAACCTGTGGCTGTGACTTGAAGGTAGGAGATGGTGGAAGCCGTAATCCGTGAGCTTGGAGTAGTAGTTCATGCTTCTATGGAGGATGAGGACATTGGAGGACTTCAGGTTTCCATGAGGAACTCTGTGAGAGGGCATGCACTGGTGGAGGTAAGCTAAACCTCTTGCTATTCCCTGCACTATGTTTAGGCGCGCAGCCCATTTCAAAGGCACCCTTGCTTCACCTCTGTTATCTACCACCATAAAACCATGGATTAGCTTCTGCTCTTTAAGCGAGAGGTAGGAGAAGCGTGGTTACCATGAAGAAGCTGAAACAAGCTTTCACCACGGACGTACTCATAGATAACAAGCTTCTCCTCCTTGGAGTAATGGAAGGAGATGATATCCACGAGGTTCTCATGCCTCAGCTTCCCAAGCAGCTGCATCTGATGAGCAAACTCCTTCTTGCTCATCCCATGCATGGTTTTGAGCCTCTTCACGGCGACGACTGCACCCGACCCGAGCGTCGCCTTGTAGGTGCTCCCCAGCAACCCCTTCCCTATCACCTCCGCGGAAGAACTCAGCAGATCGTCGAGGTCGAAGGTCGCCTTCTTTTTGTCCAGGAACATCAAGTTTACGATTTTCTTTGGCTCTGTTACGCTCTCTGAGCTTTTTGCTTCCTTTTCTGTCAATGCAGTGATCGATTCTTCCGTCAAGTAGAACACAGACCAGAATTTGGACTCTGAAGGTTGTAGTGTTATACCTGGAACATGTGCTGTCTGTTTGGCCTTCTTAGAATACCTCTTCGAGTAGTACAGGAAGCAAAACATCACCATGAAGGCAATCGTGGCTGTGACAATGGCGACCAGAACAAGAATCCAAGGTCTCAATGTCTTGCTGCTCGATGACGTGGCAGGAGGAGAAAATGTGCCGCCTGCACTTCCGAGGGGAGGAACAGGGGAGACCGAAGGAGGAGGAGGAGGAGCAGCAGCGGTGGGGCATGGCTTTGCCAATGGCCGTCCACACAACTGCGTGTTATGATCGAACGCAGTGCTGGGGAATCCCTGCATGACCGAGGTGTTGGGAATGCTGCCTTCGAGGAAGTTGTAAGACACGTTGAACACCGCCATTGTGCGTTGATCGAATGGCGGAACTGCTCCACTGAGAACATTATCCTGGAGCTCCAGCCGAGCCAGGTTCGGCAAGGCGACGAACTCCGCGGGAATCGATCCCGAGAACCGGTTTCTGGCGAAGGACACAGCGCGAAGATGAACGAGGCCTTGCAGACTCGGAAGATTGCCATGAAGGGCGTTGTCGCTGAAATTAAGGCTGGCGAGCTGCAACACGTTCTGAAGAGCCGTGGATGGAAGGGAGCCCGTCAGCTGAATCCCGTGGAGAGCGAGGCCGACGACGTTGGAGTTGAAGCATGTGATTCCCAGCCACCGGCTGCGGTGGTTGTGGCAAGGAGGGCCGGTCCAGTTGGAGTGGAGGCTCATGGCGGAGCTCAGCGAGTCGCGAAGCTGGATCAGATCGTTACGCTCGTTGTGGTACAGCTCCTCCTCCTCGAAGCTGCCACCGGATGCCGGCATGGCCGACTTCAGCAGCAGAGCTACCAGCAGCAACATCAGATTCATGTGGCCTAGTCTTCGAGGGGATCATGCCACCTGCAAGCGGCGTTCTTGGTGCCGGGATGAGACTCGGCGGACTTAACATATGCGTTGCCGAGGTGTGCAAGGCAAGGGAGGTTCGATGTGGTGGGACATGGAGTCGTGATGGAAGCGGAGGGATCAAGGAATTAGGATGGGTAAGGAATTGTTCTTTTCCTTGTGTTGGCCAACAACGCAATGGGCTTCTTTTTTGTGGTGGGAATGGTTGCACCAACTCAGAGACCCCCACCTTCAACCCCATCGATGTCACAATGGGAAAGAAAAGAGGGTCAGAGTTAGCTAAGAAGTTGGACTCTTCTTGTTTTGACTGTGTCACCTATGGGAACAGTCGTGGTGGGAATGAAGAATGTAACACGCAGTGCTGGTGCTCTTTCGTTGCCTTCAAGCAACACTACAGACGGGTAGGAGTGATCCTTTCTTAATGATTACTCGGTTGCATGGAGAGTCGACATCGGCGTTTTTAGGATGACGGCTTGAATTATACGTCATCCGCCTAATATATTGTTGGCTCGATGAGGACTACCGCACAGTGCTTTATAAACATGGTTAAAAAATGGTTTTGATTATGGTGGTATATTGTCAATTATTAAGCTTGAAATTTAGGAGAGATTTGAATGATAATTTACACTTAGATTTCATTCACTTGTCATAATTTATCCGGAAGCGATTTAGTTTTAATTAAAAGGATGAATCCAGTGCACAAGACTTTTGTGAGTCAATATAGTTCCAAAAAACAAGGATGAATCATGCTTATGACTTTTTAGCTTCCCTGGTCACTCCTCTATTAAAAGAACATATATGCACTAATCCTTCACATTTAAGTTGCAAACTATTATTAGATTTGAAGACAGCATCTGTTGTTCAATCACCATGAAATTAATTACTTGTGACACTAAAAACAATATAACTCAATAAGCATACCTTAGCACTACATATTCTCAAAGAATCGTAATTTGAAGAGAAGATACAAGCTAATTCTGAACAATTCAATACTCTTTCTAAAGGCGCTTTAAGCCAAGCTTATACACCATTATTAACCTTCAAAGAAGTTGCTGCTCTTCAAATGCTGCTAATCATCATAGCTTCCTAAAATCCATTACGAATTGCAACAAGTTCTGAACAAGAAATAGAATTTGCATGATCTTGGGTTCCATAATTTAGGCTGAACAAAGCTACCACAATAAAGATAGTAAATTTGAATGCACAGAAATATATAAGTGAAGTGTATCATCAACTGCAAGAACTATCGAAACCTGAAAAGATGAATCAATCGTTTAGGTTGTGTTATTTTGAAAATGGTGAGGAGGTTTAGCATCTCAGTTCTTTGGTCTCGGTTCTCTGGACCATGATGGAGGTATAATCTTGTAGTCTTGAACTTTCTCCTCTTCAGGTTCCTTCTCTTCATCCAAAATATCCTTGGTAAACGCATCAGGGTTTGCCTTAATGCAGTTCTGCAAGGCGACAAAAGGATTCACACAGTCTGATCCCTGCATAACCAAATCAAGTCCATTATGCATTCATAACCTGCCTCAGTTATTCCATCAAGAATAAGAAGCAATATCCTTCTGTGAATGCTAAAAGGACACAAACCAGAAAAAGCCAAGGCAAAAAGCGACCAAAGCTACTAAAATAAATCAGAATGCCGAGTTCAAGAAAATAATCACCTTCTCTTCTGCAGTGCTCTTAATGAAACAGACGAATGCCTCTGAAAACTGAACCCCACAGGGACCCTTTCTCAAGTCAGCAACACATGGACATTTCAATGCTCTTTGTGCCTTCTCTTCCAGTGACTATGGAAGCATTCAAGAGAATATTTCACGTATATGGATCATTTCACTTGATAGTCAGTAAAATATAGGCAATAAAACCTCTGAATAGAAACTCATAATAAATATTAGAAGTAAAAGGAAATAGCATACCTCTTCACTGTCATTGTCTCCAGTTGCCATTGCTTCTGCATATCGAAAATTACTTAATATTTTAATATTTTTCTCCATTCTCAAGTAATTCTCGAAAATCATTAAAAGTAGGAAGAAAATCATACAAGGAGACATGGCATAGAAGATAATTTCCTTGAAAAACTTCATTTCTCTCCATTTTCAGATTACTAAAGTAATTGAAATGTCGGATCAGGTCAAGATCAAGTAATTATCAGGTGGCTTTGGGTCTGCGTCAACCAAATATTCACCTGATGGTAAGATTGCAGCCAAATTGACCTGATTTCTCTTTAAAGAACAAGGTAAAAGTCTGCTAGCTCAGTCTGATCCAACCTGACTCATTAAATATATTGGTTGAGTCCAACTTGTGAAATATTAAACCTGTCCCGAGTTTGAGTTAGCACTATGCATCCATGATACCCATCTCAGCCTGACCTGATCTCTCTGAAAAATTGACACCTCTAATTCAAAACCTGAACAAGTCCTTTTCATCAACTTACAGTCTTATGTTGCAGTTAATATACCCCAAGAAATTCTCAGAACTCACAAAAAATCGATAAAGGAAAAGATACACACCATATACTCTTTTTGAAATTATGGCTATATATTCCTTTCAGCACTAACCATGATTTTGACAAACATTTATTACCTAATAGAGTTAATTGCAAATGTTAGTAATACGACTCTTAAAATTCCATCTTTGCCAAATTGGATATCATTTCAAATATCATCCGTCTAATCATAGCACATAAGTTTAACTCCATATAGTTTTAATTATTGTTTTATTGATTTTTTATTTCCTAAAAAAAGGTTACCCTAAAAATTTTAATAAATTAAATGGTTCATGTGGATTCTAAGAGTTCCATTCTATGATGTAAATTTGATTTGCCATTTCATAATTTATGAAGTCTCATATCCCACATCTTTACTTCCTAAAGAGTCAGGATTTATCATGATAATTAATATATAATAGGTCTCTTTATTTCTAACTATTCTGATTCTGATAAACACATACATAAAGTTTATGTTGCTGAAATGAGAATAATGAGACGCATGTGTAAAATTATAGAAAATATTAAATATATATATTTTTATTTGTGAACAATTATGTACCGCTTCGATATAGGATAAATTGAGAGAGAATTGTTTGAGATAATATGAGCATGTACTTAGTAGATCTACAGATATAATAGTTAGAAAATATGAAATATTTAACGTTAGTGATACGATGAGAGATAAAGGAAAACCGAAAAGGTTTTTAAGATAAACTATAAATAAAGATTTAAATACTCTTAATTTAAATAAAAAACTTTTTACAAATCTTAGTAGAGGCAAAAAAATCTATGTAGCCAATTCCAAATAGTTGGGACTATTGGTTTTGTTGTTGTTGTTCTATTCTGATTCTTCTTCATTGCCTGATTAACATGATATTTGTTATAATTAACAAACGTATAACTAAACCAGTAGACAATCATGCAAAATACAGTTAAGAAGTTGATAATAGAAGTTTACTGGTTTAATAGAACCATCAACTGAACCTAAGACACTGAACAAAGAAGATGTTTTTTTTTTTGCATGATTCTATACGAAATTTCATTAACGAATAGATGTTGTCAGTGTCAAGCAAAGTGAAGTGACCCCTTCCACTATTAATTTTTCTGATCTGGGTACTGATAAGCGTTTGCGATTGTTGAGACTACCAATTGGAAAATATCAAAGAAGTAACCCTTGCAAAAGAACAATGATGCTAAAAGTGATCGACATTAGTAGGAAGAGGAAGGACCTGCGACCAGAGCTTCCATGGAAGAAGCGGCCGGAGATGGAGGGGGTTCGATCGACGGCGGTGGCTGCTCCGTCTTGCTCGCAGCTTCGGCAGCGGCGGCCGCGGCATCGCTCTGAGTCTGGCCCATGAAGAGGAGTGACGAAGAAAGCAAAGGGGGACGGTGGGAAGTATGCGGCGGCAAGATGGGAACAAGAAGGAATTTCCACGGCCTTTCTCGTTCGGCGACTAAGGGTTGGTTTGCACCTCCTCAGAGGCAAAGAGTCGACCAATTTGACTGCAGACCGACCCCCACCGCAGAGGCGAAATGCTCGAAGACTCGTGTAACTGAACCTTCTCAAAATTTCAGCCATATAGCGGCCCATGTAATCCATAAGACGGTATTACCCTTATTGGGCCGTATTGAGGCCGATTAGATTCTTCTCGTTCGTTCTTCATTCTATCTGATCCTCCTCCTCCTCGTGTTTATATTTAAGCTATTAGAAAAGCATTCAATATATCTATGTCTTAAGAATTTGGCAATATGATTAATCATGAGAAGAATATAGATCATGCATGATCCAATCAGGCCAACTAAGTTTGAGATTACAGTTACATAGATTACTGTAAAATATATTATAGATATGATTAGATTCTGATTATGATTATTGGCCAATAGAAAAAAAATTTATGTTAAAATATGATTTTTTAGGAGATAATCTTGATGGGAGGAACTCTCTTAATAACTTATCCTAGACCCTTTGTTCTCGCAGACTTTTAAGGGCTAAACATAGATATCTCAACGTAGTTGAGAGATTAAGGTTTTTCTCTCAATCTCCTTAATACATCCATCTATATGGTCCTATAAAATGATAGAAAGAGAAGAGAAGGAATGCCTAATTCTCCTTGTATATTGATATCTCAGATCCGATGATACACATGTAGATCATATAAGATTTATTCTTCTGAACAACAATAAAATATACGTATCATAATATTATTTAGATCTAATTTTATTTTATTTTAATTTTATTATAATTTTTTTTATATTACAGATAGTATGATTAAAAATTTTATACTAATATACCATACAATAGGCAATCGGTAATGCCTATTGCACAACAGAACACTGAATAAAATAACATGAAGGTGATATAAAGTACTTTGGAACATGTAATCTTTCTTCAAGAACCAACTCGCACAAGCATGCATTGGGTTGCATGCCAATGCAATTCTCAGTTTCTTGCTCCTAATGGTGCGTGTCGAGAACACACATCTTGCATGGCATCTCTAGCTCAGTGTTCAGTGATGGGGAACCTCATGGCCCATGCTTCACTGTCATCTGTTGAGCTACAGAATGGGTATTGAATAGAGCAGCTGATAGGACTGCATGTCTATCTTGTCTCCGTGTTTAGCAGAATGATTAGCTTCAGAACGAGGGAGTGAAAGGGAGTCTGTCGTCTGCCGTGTATAGATTATGTGATTGTATTTAATTAAATAAAATATATTATAAATTTAATAAAATTTTAATTATATTATAATAAATTTTTTAGAATATTATAAGATAACTCTCTTAATTATCATTCTAATCTGTTACTAAGATTACATATTTATTCTTAATTTTACTAAATCTCTAATTCATCGATCATGTGGCGGAACAGTAAGCCAATAATGGAGACTCCTCCGATCTTAAAATGACTCACATGCAATCAGAGCAGTACTGCATTCAGATGAACTGTAACAATCAACCTCCAACAACGATCATCACCCAGTCAGAGTACTGTATCATTTACTAAATGCGAATTATTTCTAACTGGAGACTGTATAATCCATCAAGAATACTGTAACGAAAGCTTTATGACAAGTAGGACGTTCCCCACACGTCATTTCACTGCTGCCTATTCTCGTTCACGGGAACTTATGTGTCGACAACTTGAAGTGGACATGTTGTTTGCATGGGAATTCTTCAAAGCTGTAGGTTAGATCCTAATTAAGCTTCTTATGGACAGAACTATTAGCAGAAACTGTGATGCCCTGGTGATCGTTTGCCATTTCTACGTTTGCTCGTTGTCATCCTTATAGGTCGTCTTTTAGCTTATATGGATTATTTAATTAAATAAATTATATTATACTTTTAATTAAAGTTTAATTATGATTATCGATTAATCAAAAATTTATATATGATAGGATTCCTCAATAGATTACTTATCATAAATCCTTTGTTTCCACTTATAAATAAATAAGATTTCTTGGACTACCATACGACATTGACATGATCGACATTATTTATCTATTCTCAATTTCTTTAGTCCTTATTTCATCATTTGGATAGAAAAAGAGGAAAATATAAGTTTAATTCTCTTTCCATATCACTGTTATTGTGTCCTATGAATCAAACTATGAAGTGTATTTTATGAATCAAATAAAGATATTCTAAAGGGCATTAAAAGGTATGCATCCTAATCTTGTTCTATTACTATTTGATTTTAGATTATGATATTAAATTTATTTTGCATAATAATATGATTATGATTTTATGCTTATAATTAGCATCGTAGCATGTTGTTTTGAAAATAAATACCTTATATCATAAAAGTTTAGATCTATTTGTATTATTGCCTTTCACTTGTGAAAAATGATTTAATCTATGTTGTTTATCTAGTTAGTCCTAGTCATTCGCTTGTGGGCGATGAAGATTTCCTTACCCATACAGATGGTTTCGTGGATTACTATCAATGGCATCGTAAGAAGTTACAATCGTAGAATCTTGATTGCTAGCGTCGATTCATGATGGTTTTGGTAATTGTCGAGGGTGATGGTCTCATAATGTTTGGTGTTGTGATGAGAAGTCGTGGCTACTATGGATAGATGCAAGGGGGTGTGGTGTTGCTAGATGTCGTATGCACTATTGCGACTGAAGGTGGCTGCACTCAGGTGCACAAGACTGAGGTAGTTAAAAGGTTGCTATTGCATGTAGTGGCTCTACGGAGGGTGGTGCAAGTGGCTGACGAAAGCACTAGAAGCGCTGCATAGCAAGTGACTGTTATATTGTAGAAGTCATCCATGTAGGTGATGGCTGCGACAAGCAGAGAAGCTATTGTGATGTCACGACAAAGCGATCCCTCAGCAAAGGTAGCGATCGGTGGTGCGATAACTATGCAATAGGGCAATAGTCCTATTTGGTGTCATTGAGTGGCTATGCTTGATGGGCATGCACGGTTGGGCACTGGACGATGGTGTCGACGGTCGCAAGGATGCCACCAATCCAGCAAAGAGGTTCACAAGTACCCTTATGATTGAGTGTATCCTCCGATGGTGGTAGTCAACGAATCAATAATGTGCAATGGCAAAAAAACCTGGAAAAGAAGAGGCACAAGACGGTGTTATGCATATGCACACTTTGATATAATTGGTCAAATACCTTTTTTTTTTTTAGTTCACCCTTAAGTTTTGACAAGCTATTCCTATAATTTTGACCTAAGATTGGTCAAAATCCTATGTTGACCAAAATTAGGGCAACGATTGATCTTTGATATTTTTGGAGTTGGTCAACTTAATTTTTAATCACTTGACCAATTTTGACTCTTTGACCAATGCTAACTTGGTCAAAGATCTATTTTGAGTTGACCTATATTTTAATTGCTCCACAAGATTTAAAGATGGTCAATTTGATTGAATTTGGGGAAGTCAAATTTTAACCAATTTTTGGCTTTAGTCAATTTTAATTTTGACTAACCTTATATATATATAATTTGTGCTGATATGCTAGTTATAATTTAATATGTAAAACTCAAGCACTACGAATCTTTTGTTGTGGCTTTTTCTTTTCAAATCTAGATATCTTAATTCTATTGTTATCAAATTTTGATTCATTCTCTCTTATTTTTGTTATTTGTGAACTTGATCTTGCTATTATTGCCCCTAATATTCGAAATATCCTCAATAAATTTTTTTTTATTATCATAGCTCTATCAATCATATCAACATACGTTTGGAGCTTTAAAGTCGATATCTTACTTACTTATCATTGGCCTTATTCTTCTTTCAAATCTTTTTATATTTCTAGATTCATTAATCTAAAAAGTTTAATGAATTTAGCTTCATATTGTGCTATGTTAAATTTCTTTAGATAATATTTAAGAACTCCATTTTTTTTTATCTTTGATGCAATATGAAAAGTACTTATTATTAAACTTTTTTAAGTGTACCCTCTAAGTGATAGGCTACAATATGACTTTAAAAATTCCCTTAGATGTTCTCCACTAGTATTCAGTCTCTCCATCAAATATAAAGGTGGTAAAAAAAACTTTTGATCATTAGAATAATTTAATATATTAACCGTTTTCTCTATTCATATCATTCATTATTCTACCACTATTGGATTAGCTTCATTATAAATAGGAACAACTTAGCTCCTTAAATTGTTTTATTCCCGATCTATTCTGATTTAATGTTCTTGCTTTATCATTTCTTATTTGTTGAAATTATTATTACATCACATTTAACAGTCTCTGGAATTCTGATAATCTCACTCAATTGATCATAAAAAGATGCAACAGAAGGACTATCTGATCTCATCATCTCAGATTCATAAAAGACATCAAAAGATTATTTCTATTAATAATTTTTCTAAGATAGGTTAGAGCAAGATTCTAATTTGGTAAATTTTCTCATTTTTATTCTTTAATTATTTAGATTTAGCTAAGACAAAATATGATAATGTGATAAGCATGCAATTAAAAAAGGTCATCAGTGTAAAAAATATAACAAGTACGAGTGACACACTATTTCTTAATTTAGTTAGTGACACATACCCTCAATGTGAATCTTTTATAAATTATATTTAAATTTTAAAATTTATAATTGCTAGTTATAGGTGTCCAACAAGTCAATCACGTGATTGATGATACATTTGGTATGCTACATAGTCTTTTTACTTATTATTATTAATATTAATATTTTCTCACTTTATATTGTATATTGCATATATTGTAATGTATATGAATCTATACAATGAAAATCAGATCATGATGAGATCACGATAATGAGACTGATTTACCTTTAAACACAGATCCTAAAAAATCTCAATCGTAGGTTACTCGAGAAGGATATCGAGATAACCGGATAGACTGGTGTGACGTATACCCATTCATATGATGGAGGCGGCTGGTTGCTCGTGTGAGGGTATTAGGGATACAGGTGGTCATTAGATAATTAGTTCACTAATCGATCTGCTAATAGAATGCTAGATGGTTGATGATATATCATTGTCAGATAGCGATTTCGTTATCCTAGTGGTGTATCTGGTCCTTAGACTTAAGATACCTAGGATGTCCTATATGAGTACTCCACTATTTG